AGGGGCGGACCATTAGAAAAGTGATGGGGGGGGGAACAAAAAAATAATTCGTGCAAGGCAAATTAACTTTAAAAAAATTCCTGCATGATCAAATTCGAGGAAAAAAAATTCCTGCAGAGCGCAATGAAAAATATAATTAAATCATTGTTGGCGAGATTGCCCATTGTTGGAAAACAGGGCCAAGCTTTATTTTATTCTGGACTTGCAATCCACGATGTTAGTCATCTTTCAACAAAAGTAGGTCGTTTAATATCTTCTATAGACGTCTATAGAAGATTATAGAATGGTGGGCCATGTAGCCGCAAATTCAATTGCGGTGCCTTTGGCTTTGCATCATTTGGAATGGTATATAAGAATTGGACGGCTTCATGTAATCATGTATGTCTTTTAATCAGAGTCAGACACAGGTATTAAACTGACTCGCACAGAGATACTACTGAAATAGTAAATTCGTAAAATAGATTGGAACTTGAAGTTGAAAACGTATTTTGTATAAAATATGTGTTTTTAATAAAAAGTCTGGTATTGGGGTTTGGCTTTGGGTGAATGGGTGGGGCTAGGTCTGAGGAAAATGAGAGATCTTTGTCTTTTGACTCCATGGCTGTATTAAAATATATAATAGTTTTCTACAACTTTTCAAAAGTAATTGTTCAAGGAATTTAATCACATTATTTATTGAAAGAACAGAAAATAGTTAGTCTTTTTCTTAATAATTATATAAACATGAAAACTGTATAGATCGTACACAATATCAACAAAAACATTTGAAACTAGAGGGCACTCAGAGACTGCATACCTCCGCCCGTTACTGGGAAGTGAAACGCAACCTTGGAATTTCCTAAGAAATCCACTTTATAATTCTTAAGCATAAAAGATTTCAGGCCCCCTAATAGAACATATTACTGTTGTTGTACTGTACAGTACTTGTAAGATAAAAACTTATTAAGGGTCATTAAATAAATGCATAAATTTTGCTTTATGCACTCGCGCGTGCAGTAATTTTCACAGTTGTGCTATTTTAAATTCCCAGGCAGCTAAAATCTTTTGTCTTTAAAACAATGTCGATTTCTTGGGAAATTCCGAGGTTGCGTTCTTTTATACACCCTGTATTGAAGTAATCTAATGTTGTTAGAATTTGAATGGACTGGCACTTTGCTGAACGTAATAATGCGTAACTCCGTAAGCCTTGTTTTAGACATTGAATTTCGGTCGCGTGAAATGCAACTAAGACAATAGATAATGAAGGCCGAAGCTTAATGAGGTTTATCATCTCATTACTGTCTTAGCACTGAATGCATAAATTATACACGTCCTAATTACGCATTCAGTAATATATTTTTTGTTAATTGACCGGGAAAAGCAAGACAAAATTTTGTTCATTTCTCGTTCAATTTTTAACCAAATTCAACCAAATTTTAATCAGTTCTCCCTTAGCCGATGGGAAATGCATTCAAAAAATTTCGTACGGATATGTTTGGTATTTCTTGAGTTATCGTGCTCACAGACACAGACACACACACACACACACACACACACACACATACACACACACATACAAACCCAGATGATTACATAACCTCCTGGCGTAACAAATTCCATTATCGATTTCTTCGAATTTCTTTTCTTTTATGCTTTATGGCAGAAGATAAATCAAACAAACAGTATTTTGAAAGGGCTTCATCAAAATCTTTGACGAATTTTGGATACACACGACGCTGAAAGAACAGCCAAACTAGTCATGTATTCGAAAGCTTGTTGTTGACAGCCAAGATGTTCTGCCAAATTGCTTCGCCGGCAAAAGTCTTATTTCTAATATCAGGTCCTACCGGCGTTGTTTTCTGAGCTACATCGCCTTCTTCGTGGTACGATTGAGAATTTAATTGTTGCTGTCATTAGCCCGTTAGTCGTTAGAGTATATCCGCGTCCAGCGAGTTGAGACCTTGAGAAAGTTTGGCAGTCAAGCCGTGCACAGAACTGACTAATTAAATCTTTGTTTGCTGTTCGCCTGTTCGGTTTAAATAGAGAAACTGACTCTTAATTATATAAAAGTACCTTGAATTTTTAAGTTTAATTAAAAAGCAAAATGCTCTGCGGACATGTTCATGAGAATATAATTTTTTTGTGTAACGAAATCTACAACACTTGTCAATCATATTGCATGTGTGTCTAAAAATAACATGTGGCCTGGGCGTCCCACGGTCTAGACAGGTTTTGTGTCAGGCCCTATTTCAAATTAGGGCCTGAACTTCAGGTTAAGATCATACCAGATGTCTCACTCAGCCAAAATTGTGTCCGCGATTTTTTCAATCTCGTACCCAGAGCCATCGTTCAGTGGCTCTGGCCACACGGGATTGAAAAACGACGCTGATTGGTCGATCCATAAGCTACTGGACCCATACCCCCTGTGGTGTTCACATGCGCGGCCAATATGAGTGAATACGATATATTTGCTAATATTTTGCCTGAAAATTTGCTTATTTCGACGAATTTTTTGTTGCTTTTCGTCCGAAAAAGTGGTGAAGGGATTAAGGAGTTGATTTATGCTTTCTTGAATTCATTTGGGCAAAATAACAGGCTTCGTTATGGTAATAATTCATACTCTTGGTTCACTCTGAGTGAGTATTGATGGGAATGATGGCATATGTCCTTGATCTACTATATTGGAGTGTTATTATTGAAAAGAAATTCAAGCGTACAAGACTTACAAGCGTACACGTATGCTAGGACTGTGTTTATACAAGATTTGGGATTTTTTAATTGAACTGTAAATGTATGAATCATCATGGTGTGAATGTAACAATTAAACAGCTGAAACAGCATTTGGATTATTTTGCAACTTGTTTGATAGAATTGTTTGATGATATATTGTTTCTGTTTACAGTATTGCCTGTACAACTCTGTCAGAAACATTGGTGTTAGTGGCCAAAAAAGGTTTCATTAAAGCCAGGCCACGTAATTAGTATGTAATGTAAACAAACCCTTTGTTTACATTCTGAACCCAGTGCTTTTGTTGTAGAATATTAGATATATAATTTATTATTATACTGAATTTTTAACTCTTCTGGTTTGCTATGCTTGTAAATGAATACAGACCAGAGATTCAATTCAAGAAAGTTTGGAAGGTGCAAAATATTAATAACATTCTGCAGGCCTACATTCCAATGGACCTGACCATTGCAATGTAGGCCTGCAGAATGCATGCGCAGAACAGACTTTACATGGTCTTTAACAATAGCAGTATGTACTACATACAGTATGTAATAATATGAAACCGTCTACACAATTTATACAATGGTTTCACTAAAACTGGTAAATAAATGATTGTCAACTATTCCACAGTCTTGCTGTGCTGAGTGGTTATATAGTAATACTACCTGAAAAAAACAAGCAGAAACTCAACATTGGCTACTAACTCTTGACAAAGGGCCTTCACTCGAAACATCAAATTTCTGCTTGTTTTTTTTTCAGGTAGTACTATATATAAATATCAGATGTTCATTCTTGTAATGGACAACTGAGTGTGCAACAATTAACAATTGTATTTGAAGTCCAATGCTCAACAAAAACAACTTTACTTTTTCAGAATATGACTACTAAAACCAAATTTTAGGTTTATTAGTAAACTATCGTATAACTTCATACATCTTTAACAATTTCAGGACTGCCAAAAGTAGGGATGCAGGCAAAAGCCCAGTTCAAAAGGGGCCTCCAAAGCACAAAGAGTTGTGTCAGTGCCAGATAATATGCAGTAAAGTGTAATATATTGTAAAACACCTCTTCTCCCGATTTCTTCAGGGACCCCTGGGAAAACTTAATGATGTCATATGGTTCCCCTGGAAAAGTTTACTCTGGGCCCTGCACAACCTCCCAGTGGTACCATAAAATAAATTGCAAGTTCTGAAAAACCTTTATTGATTTCAATAATGTGTCATTCTACACATCAACCTATATCAAGCAATACAAGCATGAAAGTAAAAAAATGATATTACACTTATTCAAGCAGGACATTGTTATTAGTCAGGCCAGGTGTGATTCTTTAACCTAACTACATTTTATCACATAACTAATGAGCAATGCCACTTCTCCAACAATACTATTCCTTTCTTGAGTATTTCATTATATTAGACTCTTCATTATAATGCAACATGCCAAGCTGTTTACTGTTCCAGCATACAAAACTGTATAATTTTGACTTGAAACTGATTTCCATTGTTTCTGGATGTACTCATTGTACTGGTATTGGCATAATAAAAAGATCATATGTACAGTCCCAGATGTATCTGAAAGAAATGTAATACTAAAGTTATAAAATAGTCAACCATTTACTAAACACACATGGGTATACTGCTACAGGCTTTTGCTCAATTGCTACCGCAGTACAGGCCTTCTTTATTGAGAAAGTATCTTTATTTTCTCATTGTATGAAGAATAATATTTGGTTGTGAATTCCCTAGGTATGATAGATTCATAATAATGCATGTATAATAGTAATAAATACTGGGTATGATCAGCTCACAGGATATGCTATAGAATTTCTGCTGCAAATCTGCTGCATTTTTAGGGGGTACACAATATATTTTGTGGTATCCTAAATAGACTACAATTAGGATGGAAATTCAGAGCCCAAGATTCAAAAATTAACCTTGAAACAAAATAATGACATGAACAATGTAAATTGTAACAAATTAAAGAATTAAAGGTAACCAAGGCAGTGTGCAACAAGCAACGTTCTTGCTCCAGAATAGCCTATTTAATAAAGCTGAGAGTTATTAAATTACATTTATATAACAAATAATTAAACGTACTTCTACCTTTTAAGAAGAAATCGTAACATTTTGAAGGGACAGAGCCATTTGATCGAGGAGTGTTGACATGTGTACAAGCCGGTGTTTCAATCATCTCAAATTACTTGTAAAACGGAAATCACACGTGCACTCAGTATCCTTGTTGTTCACACTAACTGCGCCGAACATATTTTAATGCTTTTGACGGGAAAAATTGCGATTTTATTGATATTTTCAGCAAAAAGTTAGCTCTCCACTCCTCTTGGAAATACTATGGCGCGCGCGAATTCCCGGAGAATGGGTACGAAATAGTTAATTGGAAAATACTCATCCTCGTAAAATACTGTACTTTTACCGTATTTTCTAATTAACTCAACTCGTGTGGCCAGAGCCACTCAACGATGGCTCTGGGTACGAGATTGCGATTTTTTATGAGCACGCGTTGGCCGCCATTTTGGCAGTAAGTGTAATCCACGCCATGAAACGTGAGCAATCACGCATTTTGGCAGTAAGCGCCATTTTGGCAGTAAGTGTCGCACGCGTCATCTGGCGTGATAGCCTTGCGAAAATCGCGGACACGAAAATCATAGGGATAAATTTATTAAATTTGCCAGATAGTATTAACACGTTATTACAAAGTAATAATTTAACGAATTAACTAGACTATATGGCAGGGTATTCGCAACAGCGATTAGCCAATTATTACCGAAATCAGTAGAGTGTCTTTTCCGGAAGTTGAAAAGACAGTCAAAAGCTAGCCTGCGAACAGGCTCTCAAGCTGAAGAGCCTGTTCGCAGGCTAATCAAAAGCCAGTAGAAACTTAACCTGAGTATCAGGCCCCAACCTCGTCCCCAGGGCCTATTGAGGAAGGAGGCGAAGCAGCAAAGGCCCTGGTAAAGGCTGGTCACGTGATGCTTCAAATTTTGAATATTTCAGAAATTTAACTTTTCAAACCGGGGGTGCGGGCCGCTTTGATTTTATCAAACATGGCCGTGCAAAGGGGCGATAGAATTAACCTTTTGCGAGTGAAACCAGAGACTGAAACTATGATGATAAACTTTTCAACTGACAGTGGAAATACTGTAAATATATAGTCTGCGATGTTCTTCAAAAAATATGGAATATAATCAACAGCAATACTTGTGGAAGATCAAGATTCAAAGAGAAGAGTCTTTAAAACACTGACTGACAACAGTAAATATTTCTTTTCAGCTTGGAAGCGTGTTTTATAATATTTGTCGTTTGGGAGTCAATAACATACTGTCACTACTGTCAGTGAAGAATTTGATTTGGGACTTTGATGTACCTTTATGAAAAGATTACTACTGAATACAAATGTACATGTAAAATGTGATTAGAACGTTTTAATATGAACAGTTGCACTGTCATTGACTCAATATATTTTAATGTGGGACAAACATTAAAAAACATAGTACTGTGCCAAGTGACAAAATTCCATGCCGACCATGGGTTACGTATGTATGCATTTTTATTAAACGTTTATACCAATATACACTATTTTAAACCTTTGTGTGTGAATTTTGTGCGTTGATTTTATGATATTTGACAACCACGAATATTAATAATATAATATGTTAACAGCAAGTTACAGTATATCGTATAATACAAAAGCAATATCACTGGTATTATCACAAGACTCAAGTACTGTACATGGTCTAATAGATGTTTCTTAGTCAGCAACTATGCTCTTTGACATTGTGGCAAGCATTATATTGTAGTTAGCTTGGTTTTTCACTTTTTTGATACAACTATAGAATACCCACAACTTTCACACCTTACCGCTATTAATTCCTTGTAAACCAAACTAACATACTCATATGATTTAATCTCTAAACTTTACCTTAAACTATTTTGAAGTGATTCTTGTACTTATTTATGTGTCAATGAATGCGGAAAAATGGCGAGGTATTCTATAAGCATTCCGGCATGTGTGTTTTTGAACCTTCACTGTTGAGAGAGCATGCCACAGGTCTCCCCAAATTATCTGAGCACTTCAACCAGACCAACAGCTGCCAAATGGCAACTATGCTCAGAGGTGTAACTTAACACTTGCCCGGGGCAAGTGAATATCATGATGGGCAAGTAAAAGTTTCCTCTTGGTTGCCCGAACGGGCAAGTTGCTTTGCCACAAAAAGCTGACCAGCTTTCAGTTCATATTATTATTGTCGGATAGAATAAAGGCTGCATCAAATTCATCTAAATTGTTTGGTTATATTATGCATTTGATTCTCTTTTTGGTTATTAAATGTTTATTCATAATATGATAACCGAACGAAATATGGCAGGACTTCATTTATGGCAGGACTTAATTTGGGACTTTATTAGTCCTGTTGTCTGTGCCTTCAATTTCTTACTGTAAAACTAATAAAAAAATAAATAATGGTGATTAGTGTTACATTAAACAAGTGTACTTGATTCAAATTTTGTTTAATATGTGAGCCAAAGCTAGATCTGAGGTAGTTTAGATCTGAGGCAGTAACATATAGCCAATGCCACTAGTCCAATGAGTGGATATGTTGTCTCTCTAATTTATACTGGCCCGCGTAGGTACCCCATGGCCTGATGGCAAGTGGTACATTGCATGGCACATTGCAGCTCAATGGGTTAACTAGAGACATTGTCAGATTTTGGTTAATAACCACAATTGCAAGAGGTCAGTACAGTCTGTAACAATAAGTAATTCAGGAATTCACACAGTTCTCAGTAGTTAAATGATTATCGGATTTCATATTAAATGATTATCGGATAATGTTGAGCATCAAGAATATATGTATAATATCCTTCATACATTTATAATAATATTCAGGCTAAATATCATAGTTATTATTTTATATACTATAGTTTTATCAGGTATAAAGATACGAGGTGAAGCGAAGTACCTTTAGGTCTGATAAAGCATACACTGCGAATGTTTTAAATTGCTCAACTGATGGTCACCAACAACAAATAGTACTTTATTACAAGGCGGCAAAATGTATTTATATTAC